CAGGTAGCCAGGACCCAAGCCGTTTAGGGCTTTGTAGGTCATAATCAACACCTTGAATTGGGCCCGGGCTTCAATGGGAAGCCAGTGAAGCTGATGGAGGACTGGAGTCATGTGAGCATAACGCCCCGTCCCCGTCAGCAACCTGGCAGCTCTATTTTGCACCAATTGAAGTGTTCGGACTGTCTTCAGGGGAAGCCCCACGTAAAGCGCGTTACAGAAGTCTAGGCGGGAAGTCACCAGCGCGTGTGTCACCGTCGCCAGGCAGTCGTATTCCAGGTAGGGGCGCAGCTGATTAATCAGCCGAAGCTGAAGGAAGGCGTTCCTCGCTACCGCTGTCACCTGAGCTTCCAAAGAAAGCTCCGGGTCAAGGAGTACACCTAAGCTGCGGACCTTATCCCTAAGAGGGAGTGTTGCACCATTCAGGACCAGGTCAAATCCACCCTCTCCGAAACCCGATCCGCCAACCAACAGGACCTCCGTCTTGTCTGGGTTGAGTTTCAGTTTATTGGCCCTCATCCATTCCCTTACCTCGGCCAAGCACCGGTTCAGCACAGCCACTGCCTCACCTGGATTAGTGGAGAATGAGAGGTAAAGCTGGGTATCATCAGCGTACTGATGATTCCGCAGCCCACACCTCCTGATGACCTCTCCCAGCGGTTTCATATAGATGTTAAATAGCAGAGGGGATAGAATGGAGCCCTGTGGTACCCCATGGCATAGCTGCCATGACGTAGAGACATGGTCCCCCAGCACTACCTTCTGGAATCGACCGTCGAGATAGGAGCGGAACCACTGCAAAGCAGTGCCTCCAACCCCCAATCCCGCAAGTCTATCCAGAAGGATACCATGGTCGATGGTATCGAAAGCCGCCGAGAGGTCCAGAAGAACCAACAGGGATGTACTCCCCCTGTCCTTCTCCCTGCACAGGTCATCGTACAGGGCGACCAAGGCAGATTCAGTACTGTACCCGGGTCTGAAGCCGGACTGAAAAGGATCCAGATAATCAGTTTCCTCCAAGAGTGCTTGGAGTTGTCCCGCCACCACTCGCTCCAGCACCTTGCCCAGAAACGGGATGTTGGCCACAGGTCTATAGTTAGTGGCCATCTCTGGATCCAGTGACGCTTTCTTCAGGACCGGTCGTATTACCGCCTCCTTTAAAGGGGCAGGCACTCGACCCTCCCTCAGAGAAGCGTTAACCACTTCCAAAATCCAGGTCCCAATCCCGTGCTTGGAGTTATTTATTAACCAAGACGGGCAAGGATCCAATAGGCACGTGGTGGGACGTACTCTTCCAAGCACCTTGTCCACATCATTGGGCCGCAATAATTGAAATTCCTCCAGTAATTTTGGACCAGACGGTAGCATTGGCGACTCCTCAGAGACCTCTGATTCATTAGTGGAGTCCAGCTCATGACGAATCTGAGCGATTTTCTCCCTGAAATGCCTGGCAAAGTCGTCACAGCGGGCCTTTGAGGGTGGCATCGGATCTTCCTTAGGACCCAGGCGAACCAGGCCTTGCACCACTCGAAAAAGCTCCGCTGGACGGCATTGTGAGGAGGCAATGGAAGCAGAAAAAAACTTCTTTTTCGCCGCCTTCACCGCCACAGCATAGGCCCGATAGTGGGCTCTCAAGTGTGTTCGGTCAGATTCATCCCGTGATTTCCTCCACCTACGCTCTAGCCGTCTCCCAACTCACTTCATCGCCCATAATTCAGGTGTATACCAAGGGGAAGAGCGGACTCTGCCCGGTGGGAGAGGACGCTTAGGAGCGATTGTGTCCACAGCCCTGGTCATCTCTCCGTTCCACAGTTCAACCAGAGCCTCGACAGGAGCACCAGTCTTGTCAGCCGGAAATTCCCCCAGGACCCCCAGGAATCCATCCGGATCCATCCGGCTCCGGGGGCGGGCCCATACAATCGGGTCCGCACTCTTATAGAGGGAGAGGCCGCTCTCGAGCACAAACCTCACCAGGAGGTGATCTGACCATGACAGGGGAGTCAAACAAAAGTTCTTCACCCTCAGGTCATCCTCTACCTGCCCCGTCGTGAATACCAGGTCCAGAGTGTGTCCACGTTCATGGGTAGGGCCAGTGACGTGTTGAGACAGGCCCATGGCCGTCATAGAGGCCATGAAGTCCTGAGCCGCCCCGGTCAGTCCAGACTCGGCATGGAGATTGAAGTCCCCCAGGACCAACATCCTGGGGGTCCTCAACACCAGGTCCGAGACGGTCTCTGTCAGCTCAGATAGGGAGACTGCTGGGCAGAAAGGTGCACGGTACACCAATAGAATCCCCAATCTGTCTCGTTCGCCCAACACCAAGTAGAGGCACTCCAGCCCTGGTCTCAAAGGGACCGGAAGACCCGTGAGAGAGATGGAGGCTCTGTAAACCAATGCGACTCCCCCTCCCCTCCCTTCTGGGCGTGAACAGTGTTGAACCAGATACCCGGGCGGGCACAACTGGGAGAGGGCAACATCCCCTCCCTCTCCCGCCCAGGTCTCCGTTATGCAAGCCAGGTCAGCCCCCTCATCCACAATCAAGTCATGGATGAGGGAAGATTTATTATTGATCGACCTGGCATCGAGCAGCACAGTAACTCGCACTCGGGGGCTGCATATGGATGAATATGGATTGTCATTGAATCATGGGGGGAAAAGGTGCATCACAATGTCTGAATCCTGCTGTGCTCACTTCCAATGGCTTAACCATGAACAACCCATGAAGTGAAGCCATGGCTTCTTGTCGGATTGTGAACTGTGGGGTCTTCACCATGTTTTTGTTTTATTCTTGGTAGGATCCATGAAGCACAACCTCTTGCATTTCAGTGACTACCCATGGTTCATTGACAGACTATGTTGAACCCATATTCAGCACTCTTCCATGGGGTTAAGGTTCCTTCCCTAACCTTTGGAACGTGGGAATCTGCCTTGGCTTAAACCAGCAGAGTGTTTCTCCTCCTAGCTGAGCCTTTCCCCATTTTGAAGCTCTCCAGATGTTTTGGACATCAAGTTCCAAAGGCCAGGGATCCTGGAAATCATCATGCAAAACATCTGGAGTACAGTAGGTTGGGATTTCATAGGATGATAATGATGGCCAGGAACAGCTTGTCTAATAAGTATAATTCCCTTGCATGCAGGTTAGCGGCTGGTTCAAAAGAGCAGATTGCTGTGCCAGGGGCTGATATTTTGCACTCAGCTATGGCCAGTTCTCCCCCTATGCATCTCTAAGGAACCCTTTCCTACTTACGTTTCTGAAGTTAATTAGCTGTGTGGAACTTTTCAACCATCCTTCATGTGCCCCTTTTAAAAAAAGATCATGACTGGAATGTAAAGAAAAATAAAATTCCCATCAAGTGCCGTCTTCAAGGCACCCTTTTCCTTTCAGGGTTTATTAAATGCTTCCTTTGCGGTGAGAATCACAATGTTTCACAGTGCAATATAAACATAGGAGCTAAAAAAGAAGAAGGGAGTTAGCATTCCAATACTAAAAATACACCCAATGGCAACGATATGCGCACAATGCCTTCATTCATATTCCAGGAAGTCAATTCCTCTGTAAGAACATTTGCCCCTCAAAAGCTGTTCTCATGGCCTAATCCTGTTGCTGAGATCCCAGGTCCAAAGAGTAGATAGATTCCAGTGCTGTTGGTTTTCTCCAGCATGGGCCACTGAGCAACCAATGAACCTAAGGCATAATGGTAATGCAAGGGCACCATTTCATCAGCCCCATGGCTTGCACGATCTGACTTGGGAGGCTTAGGAGCACCCAGTGCAAGGTGGAAGAGTGAGGGTGGCAAGCTCCACTGCTCCCTGCCTCATGCCTTGCATTTTATCTAGAGGGCTGCTTTCAGCAGGGAGAGGGAGAGAAGGAAGCTGGGGAACGAATCGCACAGCCCCAGCCTCCCCACCCCACCATCTAGCACATCCCCACCTAGCCTCCCCACCCCACCATCTAGCATACCCCATCCATCCATCCATCCATCCATCCATCCATCCATCCACTTTCTGCCCTTTTTTTTTTCCTTTCAAGGAACTCAGGGCAGCTTACATAGCTCTCCTCCTCCTCCTCTCCATTTTATCTTCAGACCAGCAACCCTGTGAGGTAGGTTGGATTGAGAGTGCATGTTTGGCCCAAAATCATACGGTTGTCCTATCCCATTTATTCATTTACTATATTTATACCCTGCCTTTTTGCCTTTCCAGGAATTCAAGCCGCTTACACAATCCTCCTCCTCCTCCTCCTTTCAGTCTCATGCCTTCAACAACCCTGTGAGAGGCTGTGACTGGCCCAAAGTCTCCCAGTTGGCTCTGTGGCCAAGTGGGGACTAGAACTGGCATCGCCTGAGTCCCAGTCCTGCGCTCTTAACCACCGCACCACACTGGCTCTCTCTCTCCAACCAGGGGGTGATTAAAGACGGGTTAGCGAAGCATTAGTGCATTACAAGAAGTTCCCAAACTAAGGAGGTCAGTCGCGCAAAATCTGTGTCCATTTCACTCCCTCCCCCTCCAGGGATCCATCCAGGCGCTGAAGACCCAGAAAGAAAGCGGCTCTTCCAGGCGACCTGCTCCACTCTTAATTTATGACTTGTTTGGTTTGCTCGGTTTATTTTGCAAAGAGGAGAAGATGAATATCTTTCTTCCTAGCCTCGATCACAGGCTGGAAGAAGGAGAGGCAGATCCGTCTTTCCCAGAGTAGGGGCGGGCGGGGGGGGGCAGCCAAAGGTGGGCGGGTCCTTGAACTACGTCGCCAGGGGATGCTCCCCGTTCGCCCTCCCTCGGCGTCCTCAGCGTAGGCGCTATATAGAAGTTGACTGAGCGCTGGTCCAACAGCTCAGAATGGCTCTCTAGGGACTGGAAGGGAGAACTGCGCTAAGACGGGGGAAAACAAAGCAAAGCACCAAACCAGGAAACGAGCATCGATTCCTTCCTCCCCCCCCTCCCCTTTGTCCTGCGTGGAAGTTTCCAGTTTGGGATCACTTTAGGTGCCCAAAGCTACTTCAACGATGAATGACATCAAAGTCGCAGTTCTGGGCAGCGAAGGGACAGGAAAATCTGGTAAGAACCTCGCAGTCCGATTCAATGGCGAACGCATTGTGTCTTGCTGGAGAGAGACCTCCTTTTTTCTTGCTACCCAAATTGACCCGGTTTATAGGCACTTTTTGATAGCATAATAAAAGTTAAGCAGATTTCCTTTTATTATTATTTGTACAGATGTAGGGGAGGGCAAGTCAGTTTGTGTTTCATTTGTGCGTTCATATATATCTTGGCATCATATAGATTATAAAATCTATGTACCTGCCACTCACCATCTTATTTTCCATTCTCTTGAAATATGATCTATCTTCCATATGTCTAAACATTGTATTTTTATATTATGTTTATGGGTGCTTTTTTCTTGTTCAAATGCAGTTCATTCCAAATACCCAATTAAGTTTGCCAAGTTTTTTCAGGCCTTTCCCTCTAACATATAGTTTAACATATAGCAATGAATGGTGAAATCCTATGAATGCATCTTGCAATTCCTCATCCAGCCTGCAGAGAGCTGTGGGGCTGCATTCAGTCTAAATATACATTGCTCCCAACATATGTTTCCCTCCAATGCCTAGAAAAGCTTTGCCTGCTTAAATTTCAAGTGGTATTTTTCCGTTTAAGGTAGAGGAACAGAGCCAAAATTTGGGTTTTGGCAACCCTAATGTATAATAACAACACATGCCAAATAATATGGCAGCAACACAGAGGAGCTCAGAACAAAGGCTGGTATAAATTTGGCTGAATTTCAAACTCTGAATCCCAATTTTGGAATTCTGGGACATAGTGGAGTTCCTGCTTTCTAAATTATGAAATGAATTTCCAGATCTATGTTTGAAACAGTTCAAACTTCCAGAAGCTGAACTTGCATTCTGAAACATCAACACTGAGATTTGATCCTTGACTTGAATGATATATTAACAAAACACACACATCCAATAACTCTCTGCCACTGAGGTTCTGGGCACATGAACTTGGGAACAAACCAATCTGAACTAAAAGAGGCTTCTTTCTGAGTAAATGTGCATAACCTCCTGCTGTAAATCTTAAGGAACAGTGATAAATATAATCAACTCCCCATATGTCACATCACACTCTTCCACTTCTAATTCTAATAGGATCCTTATGGTATAATAGCAACAGAAACTGAATTAGAAGTCCGTAAATGAAATTCACATATATAAATCTGATAAAAGATAACCCCCTGCCCACAAATTAATAACTGGACTCAGTAACTCAGGTTTTGCTATGGTGCAGCTTGCCCCCTCCCACAACCTGTTGGCCTTCAGATCTATGCAACTACTATGCCTATCATCCCTAGCCAGCAGTACCCAGTCCAGCAGATCTAGAGGGTTCCAGGCTGGGGAAAGCCAATGTAGTCATTTTTAAAGGATCCATGCACCTACCTCTTAAGAGCCAATTAATTAAACTGAGCTTTACCAATCAGTTACAAAGAATGAAGAAATCTCCAAAAAGTCAAGGAAGCATGACATAGAGTGGGGACCCCCTCCTCCCCAGGTTGTTTCATCATTTCATACTTATTATTGTCCAGATGCAAGACGTACCATTTCTTTTCTGAATCTGTACTACAGCCGACTGAACAAAACTAGTCTTTGTTTTGAGCATCTTTAAAAAGTCCACCACATTGCCGTCCCATCATGCTTCCAAGGAGTTCAGGATTGCCAAACAAGCCATTGAGTTAGGTTAGGCCTGAAGATAGTGGCTGGCCCCGGGTCACCCACTGAGCATGGCTTCTCAGCAAGAATTCTGACCCTGGACTTGTGCCCAAGTCTACCCACTAAACCAGGCTCCTAACTCGAGCTCTACCTCCAGTGGTCCATTTTTGGCAGTGGAATACAGTTCTGTTGTGGGAGAGCTTGCAAGGGCTTTGGGTAAGGTCTGCAGGCTGATCGTGCAACAGCCTTCTTGAACCTAAACAGGTCTGAGTCAGATCAGGGCCTGGATGGAAGATTGCCTGAAAATTATGTCTGCCACCTGAAAAGCAAGAGACAAATAACAGGGTACTGAAAAGGTTTGTGTTTCAGTGCTAAAAGAAACAGCTCCTGTGAATCTTCCTTCTCTGCTTCTTGGTTTGCCTCCTACTCCAGCTGTGTGTGCACAAAAGCCTTTAGCACCAGGGATCCTGTGTTGTCCTCCGCAGAAACAGGGAGCAGTTAGTCCAAGGAGGACAAATTCATGGGTGCTGCACCTGGCTGTTTGTAATGTGAGGCTGCAGAACAGCAGAGGATGAAAGTGTTTGATTGTGTGGCCCAGGGGCTCATTAGGGACTAGGGTTCCATGCACATTATAAAGAATCTTGATGCACCTTGTAGTCTGTAGCTGCTGTTTAAAAGAATGCTTGCTAAGTAGCTGTTTGTTTCAAGGCACAATCCTCTGTAAGTTTAGATAAAAAAGGAATTTGCAACAGGTCTGGATATTGCGGGCCATTTTTAAATCTGAAGTTGCATATCACTAACTGTCTTCTCGGGACTGCAGGTGGTACAGTGGTTTAAACTGCTGTGCTGGTTGATCGAAAGGTCGCCGGTTCGAATCTGCACAACGGAGTGAGTTCCCGTTGCTCTGTCCCAGCTCCTGCCAACCTTGCAGTTCAAAAGCATGAAAATGCAAGTAGATAAAAAGGTACCACTTTGGTGGGCAGGTAATAGCATTCCATGCACTTCGGTGTTTAGTCATGCCGGCCACATGACCAGGGAGACTGTCTGCGGACAAGCGCTGGCTCCCTCGGCTAGGAAACGGAGGTGAGCACCGCCCCCTGGAGTCAGGCATGACTGGACTTAACGTCAAGGGGAAACCTTTACCTTTACCTTAACTGTCTTCTCAGACTCAAACTGTCCAGTTTCACTTATGGCATCAGATGAAGTGCACTGTAACTTAGGAAAGCTCATCCTAAGTATTAAAACTAGCTGAAGAACTAAGACAGTTAGTCTAGATTTGTGCTACCACTTATCCTGGCAGTAAGTGTGTATAGGACAGCAGATTGAGTCACATCTGAATTTAGCTAGATCAGGGATCATGTGACCTGGAGAAAAACAAATGTGCCACCTTGGTTTACATTCGTATGGAAAGCATGCATACACATAAAGCTGGAGAAATGCATTAATACTGACTTGCTTAATCCAGGATTGGTATTAAGAATGCGCATGGCCAAAAGCCCTAACAGGACTTTTGTGATCTGTATCCTCCCTACATAGCAATACTGTGTCTTCTGTTTGAATCTAACCCCCCCACCCCCCACCCAAAGGTACATTGCTTTATTGGCCATAAAGCTGCAACCTTCCTATGGGGCAGACAGCCTAGGGAATCCAGAGATGACCGAATAGTCAGAGATGACTGAAAGTCAAAGTGTGGCACATCAGCTCCCCAGGCTGTTCCTTTCTCATGTCTAGTTTTGTTCTTCACTGCAGCCCTGACAGTGCGCTTCCTCACCAGGCGTTTCATTGGAGAATATGCTTCGGATTCTGGTAAGCCTTCATGAATTTGGTAGGCATGCATCTACCTTGCCTCTTGCAGCTCTCTGCATATCAGATCTCTTAAGCAGTTCCTGTGTCAAGGACGGCTCCGTCAGATACTCAGATCCTCCATGGAGACTGGCCATACGGATGAAGAAACAAGTAACTTCTTTCAAATCACTCTGCTTATTCCACCTTTTCCAAGAAGCTTTTGCCTTAGCTTTTAGTCAGTATTCCCTAGAACTAATGCTGTGTTGAATCTTTCTTTTTTTCTGTCCATCTGCCCTCTTCCTTCCCCATTTTTACTCCATTTGATAGACATTCATTCACCCTGCCAGAATGGCTTGGGCTAGAAATGGCAATTTACAGGTAAATGGGAGGTAGGAACAGGCAATTGCCCATATTATGTGCCTAGCATGCCAACAGTGTGTGTGTGTGGGCAGACTATAAAAACTCTCTCTACCCCTATTCCTGGCCTCTTGCTTGTCCTCAATAGGAATGATGAAGGAACATTTGGAGAAATTGTCAGGTTGGGTCTGGGTTTCTTGCATTTACCTTACTAAGGAGGTGGCCGAAAAGTATGAATAGTTCACACTATGTAGATAATTTTGTGTGCACCAGGACTGTCCCTTTCCAATGTGTTTTTGGGAGCTCAGGTTATTAAAAGCTTCTCCATATTGCAGAGTAAGTCCCTGTACACAGAAAACTAGATGTCACACACAAACACATGCACAGTCTTCTTGAAGATGCTTCTGGAGGAAGGCCTAACAAATCCTTTCAGACTGGGTGGCAGTGGCTGAGTTAACCTTTTCCTGATCTTTGACTTCAGAGATGCACAACCTTTATTGGCCTGCGGGCCAACTTAATTTTCACAGAATCTTTCCAGTGCTGCAGTCCAGTGGTGGGAATGGCCAGGGATGAGGTCAAAGTACATTTACCTGAAAGCCCTTCCTACCTGTAACTAAGGGGAGGCTTTTCAGCATTTTAAAGTGGCAGGGGACGTCTGCACAAAGCTGGGAAGGCATCAAATAATTCATTGTCAGGGAAAGGAGGCAGGAGCATAGGAAGGGGACCTGTCCATCCGGGGAACTCCATAGGGTCAGATGCAGATGCAGGGGGAGGGGGCTAGGTGAGCACGGATTCTAAGGTTCTTCATCTCTGCTTTAGTGGTGCATGAGCGGTGACTCCTGTGTATTTAGTCCCAAGATCAAACCTATCCCTCCTTTTCCTTGCAGAGTGCATCTATACAAAGCATATGTGTCTGGATGGAAAGCAAATCCACCTGGAAATATACGATCCTTGCTCACGAGTAAGTTATGCCTCCCATTAAGAATGCTCCCCTGTGGTTTTGAGTCTCATTATTCCCACAGTTCTTTGGGAAACTGGCGTCAAGAGAAAGTGCAATGTGGGGGTGGAGTGGGGGAACGGATTGGAGCCTGAACTGAAGGCTAGTTCAGGTGAATTCCTCAGGTCTGAACCTGTCTCGATGTGAATATTGGCACTTGTTTCAGCTGCTGCTTCATCTTCTCCTGATGACATGGTCTGTCCAGCAGGATCTACACCAAATTCAAAGCCTTGCAGCAATAGCAAAGTCCGTCGGCAGTGACATCTGCTTCAGTGCATTCAGTGGAGCAATATTGGCTGCAATAGTTTTTCAAGTTCACTTATAATAATTTTATACTGTCCAATAGCCAAAGCTCATGCAGAGGTTCACAGCATGTTGAAACATGATGAGTTTTTTAAAAAATAAAAATGTGATTGGTGAGTTCTCCACACTGTTCTGTAAAAGAGCAAAAGGGCTTCTTTCAAAGATGGCTATTTGCAGAGCTATAAAGGAGTCAAAGATTAACTCGGTGAGCTGTTTGCAGTACCCAGATTTACTAATTCATCATATTGATGATAAAAACACAATAAAAGTCATGCGTTTCCAGGGAGTGTGTGCCACTCCTGATTTGAGGAATGACACACTACGATGCTCTTAAAGTTGTGCTCAGCACCTCAAGCAAAGGGTCCCACCCCGTTTGTTCTCCTGCCTTCCAGCCTCGGCGAGGAAAGCTGTCCCTCACGGATGAGTTCCACTGGGCAGACGGATTTGTCATTGTGTACGACATCAGCAACAGAACCTCCTTTGCGTTTGCAAAGGCCCTGCTGTGCAGGCTACGGGAATGCCACACAGGGACTTGCAAAAGGTGAGACAGGAAAAGGTGACCATTGAGAAGGCAGAAGGACAAGGTGCAGAACCTCAGCCCCAGGGCCAAACCTGGGTGCTTGAGGCAGCAGTCTGCTCCTCTGGGCTGCTGGTCCAGAAGATGGTCTGAAGGCACATAAAGCACCTGCCATTCTGCAGCTGAGCAGGTCTGGGGCTGGCCTGAGCGTGGAGGGGAGACCACCTGGGAACTGCATGTAACCACTTTGAGTTCCACAATGGGAGAAAGGTGGGATAGAAATATAATACATAAATACAGGCAGTGATACCCTTGCATGGCCCATTTTTCCCCTGATCACCAATTGTGTCCTGGCCTTTACCCAATTTCTTTCCCGTTCTGAAAAGCTGAACTGCCACACCTAAACCTCCCTTACTTGTTATCCGGACATGCTGTCAGGATGAACCCACGAGGAATCCATTGTTCTAGTACTTGCGGGCTTCCTCTTATTTTTTTTATTATTTATTTAGAAAATTTCTATGCCGCCCCATTTGCCGAAGCCTTGGGGCGGCTCACCAACATATCAATTAAAATATAATAGAATAAAATATAAAACAAGTTAACAATATAAAATAAAATAAGATAAAATAAGTCGCCCAGCCTGGTCTTGCAAAGCAAATATGCTAATTATACCTTTTATTAATAATTATATTTTGTATTATATATTATTATATGATCACATAATTTAATAATGCATGATGACATAATTATTCAATAGTTTAATAATTATTAAATCAATATATTTATATATCAAATAAATTAATAATTATATTGTGCACAATATAATGTTTGGTATATTAATACAATAATTAATAATGATCACAACAACAACAACAATTTAATATCCCACCTTTTTTCCTTTCAAGGAACTCAAGGCAGCTTACATCTTTCTCCTCCTCTTCTCAGTTTTATCCCCACAACAACAACCCTGTGAGGTAGGTTGGGCAGAGAGTCTATGACTGGCCCAAAGTCACCCAGAGAGCTTCACGGTTGAGTGGGGATTAGAACCAGACCTCTAGTCCAACTATACCATACTGGTTCTCTGGTTCTATTTGATAGAATAGGACTTCAGGGAAGAAGACTTAGAGAAGTTCTCATTGGCTGGCATGAGGGATTCTGTACTCACCTTCTTTCATTGTGCAAACTTCTTGAAACTCAGCCTCCTTGATGTCCCACACTTAAATTAATTTTATATGGTGGCTGTCTTCCCTCTTTTGCCCCTTGAGCCCTGAAATGACTCAAGATATGGCACATTGAGAAGGATGAAAATTAGGGCCCGGTAAGAGGCTGTGTTACAACTCTTGCCAATGGTCCTACCTGTACAAACTGTTGGAGGATGAGGCAGAATTGTTCGCCCAGCATCTCTGCCCAGAAATCAAATGGAGAAGTTTGAGAACTTCCTTGTACAAAGCTCTAATTGAAACATTTTCCTTCCAAGAGAAGGAAAGATGTAAACCCAGCCTCTTTACTGTTTGACTTCTTGGATGTGAATGTGTGAGCTGTAAGAGAACCTCATGATCACAGTATTCACTTCTCAGACCAAGGACAAGTCTGAGAAGGCATTACCGGGGTATTCCATCCGATGATGTTACAGCGCCTCCTCTAAAAAGTGTCCCAGAGCTGTACCCTTCCATGTTCAATTTTCACTACACCACTGGTGAAGAGGATAGGGATCTTCCTACAGGATACATTTTAGGATTTCAATAAACCACAGTTCCCAAGGCTCTTGAAAGCCTGATGCTTAAAGCTGAGGAATGGGATTGTATATAAACAGAGTTCCACTGAATCTCTGCTCTTTTCAGCCTGTGATTTACATGCCACATTTTATAGAATACTATGTATTTGTTTATTTAGGGCTATGGACTCCTTTTTTTCCCAGGCACATTGTTGGGGTGGCCTACAGTATCTTCTAAAAAATAGAAAAGACCTTTAAATATATAAAGGGCAAGTAAGAGAAGCTTAAAAGCAGTGTATCTACCAAAGTGGCATAAATCATGTCAGAGCTGTCAGAATAAAATGCATGTACAAAATTGTGTTTGCAAACCTTTCCTCTTCTTGCTGTCCCTCAGAGCCTCTGAGTCCACTGTCATTTTGGTTGGGAACAAGCAAGATCTGTGCCACATGCGAGAAATTGGCTGGGATGAAGGACAAAAGCTGGCCCTGGATTACAAATGCCACTTCTGTGAACTGTCTGCAGCAGAACATTGTCAGGAGGTGGCAACCATGTTCATGAAAATCTTGAAGAATCTTACCTCTACTTCCAAAGGAAAAGAGAAAAGACGCCCGAGTGGGTCTAAATCCATGGCCAAACTGATTAACAATGTGTTTGGCAAGAGAAGAAAGTCTGTTTAGTGCCATGTTCTGAGAAGAAGGAAGATGTGCAGAAAAGGGACCCAATCCCCACAGACCAGCAGCTTGGTCTTGTAGAACTCCAACCGAAAGGAGACTATAGAACAATACTGAATTATTCACAGAATTTTCTCCTGAGGTCTCATCAACTGATGGACCTCAAGGAAAGGCGGATGCTCTCCACTGAATGGTATAGTGTTTGAGGTGACAGCAGACAATGCAAAAGTTCTGCCTGTGGTGACGAAACTTTGCCGGTGGATCCACACATGCATTTTTGCCACTATCACCAATGGGGAGGCAACCTGGGCTGCCTTGATCCACCTAAACTAAGTCATGACTAATCGTCCATTGAGGGCAATGGGTCCTGCGTTAATCATCAGACCGAAGCTGGTTGGTTCAGAGCCAGCAAGTGTGAGGGAAGCAAAGAAGCTGTGCTTGGCAGTGACTAGCTCACAGGGACTCTACATATTTTGGGTCTGCTCTAGATTGAATAGTAACCTGGTGTATGAATGTTATTTTCACCCTGCACTGTGGGGTAACAGGCTCACATTCTGTACTGTTAACTTAGTAAATCTGTAGACCTTTCCTTCCAGGACATTGCCACAAAGTGCCTGGTCTAAAACGTCCTTGAATTTCATCCTCCTGACTCATAGTCTCCCACTCCATAAACCAAACCATGCCCAGGGCACAAAAGTACCCCAGGAACTCTATAGGAATAGTTATATGGGGTACTTTTACACTGCAAACAATAGGTACTCAAACAGAGGAACAAGAGAAGGTTCAGTACAAATTATCTTGGATTCTTTTTGAAGCTAAGATTCATAATAAAATTCTTCAACAAACAGAATTAAAATCCATTGAGGGAAAACTTTGCTTTGATTTTTTAGAAGTTAGTAGGCCAAACTATTATGCAGATTTTCTTGTTTTGCATAGCCTCAGGAAGGATTCAGCCTAAAATTACCTGTATTTGCTGGTAGCTGAATGCCATTCTTGTACTGGTTGCAACTTCCCAAGTGGAAAATTTTAGCCAACACTAAGGCTTTTCCAATGCAACATTTTCCATGCTTTTGTCTGGGGTCACAAAGAACCCCAGTTGAGACTCATGCTAGTTCCTTGTTGACACGGGATGTCCCTTCCCCTGCTTCCCCTCCTGTGTGCTTTCAGTTGTACAGATTAGAATATATTGGGCAGAGACTGTCCAACTGTGCTGAAAGCAATATTGCCTAATGCCAGCTAAACTTCTAGGTATTCCATAGTTTCAGCAATAACTTGTTTCTTTATAAAATATTTCTGTGCCTTTTGCAGAGCAGTGTGATTGCAGAGTCAAGGTATTCTTGGTAATCCAGCCTTGCATAAATAAAACCCAAATATTGCTAAGAATTTGATATCATGCTTAAAGTTATTTTTGTGCGTGTGCTAGAAGTAATTTTTGTGCATGTGTACATTTATGCATAAACATGTCTGTGTGTGTATTGGGTGGGTGGATGAGAATGAATGTAAAGGTTTACTTACAATAGGCTTCCTCTTTACAGTTGGAGTCACTCAGCATATTCCCCAAAGCAGTGTAAAGTAGATCCACGAGTAACATATATCTGCATCTAATTAACATGCAAACAGAAGGCTTGTGCATCACACGGTAGTACATAAAATGCATTTTGGAATATCTCCTACCCATCACTTCTGAGAATATACAAAGCTGGTCCCAAAGCTGATCCACTGTGGATGGCTTGCCCAATTGGGGTCTCTGTTTGTGACAGTATATAGCAAACTTCAGCGTGAGGTAGCAAAGGAGGGTTACTTTCGGGGCTGTGAATGCTAAGTCTGCCAGAAGCAGAAGAGCAGAGTCACAAACTCTGTCCCCAGCTGCAGAATACAAGCAAGTGAAAGAAGGTTTATGGTCCCTTTGAGTAACAACAGCAAGAACCATCAGCATCCTTTCCATAGCACAGTAGGGGGGAGACAGAGCGGCCATGTGTCCTCTTTTACTGTCCTCTATTTGAAGTGCCACCAGAGAACTGTCCTGTGTATACAGACATCCTTTCTTGGAAGGGCTGTCCAGGCCAAGTCCAATTGAAAGACAGAGACCCATCAGGAAGAAGAGCCCGAGGGCCTTGAAGCTGCTCATCAAAAGCAGATGACTGGACAGCAGATGAGCAAGGAACACACGTATCCTGGGGCTGGATCCACTCCGACTCCCTCCCTCCTCGCATGTATATCCACTTGTGAGGGAACCAAGGTGGATAGATAGCAATATTTTATCTTGCCGAAACAGCCCTGTAAAGTAGGTTAGGCTGAAAGCCAGGCCCAAGGCTACCCAGTGAGTTTTATGGCTGAGCAGGGACCAGAACCCAGATCTCCTAAGTCCGCAGTCCTGTACTCTAGTCACCACATCAAAGTAGCTCTTGGGGATTTTGTCAGCATTGTAAAGCCACCCAAAGCCAAGCTCCTCATGACATTTCCGCCATTCTGTCCTGGATTTCCTCAGACTAGTGGCATCCGTACTTGCTGTGGGGTTTTCTGTGGCATCTGTTTCTTTGTGTGCTAAACTCATGGCACTGTTCTGGGAGAATGAACTTCATTCTCAGCAGGCTGGTGGCCTCAGATGGGCTTCAAGGATGAAATATCTACTGGGTTTAAAAAGAAATACTACTGTGCAGCTGTGGGTATGTGAATCTGTGAATAACACCCCCTCCTCCACACATTGCTGCAAGGGCTGGTTGAGAAAGAATGAACTGAACATGCTCCCCGGCATGTCTACTCAGAAGTAAATATTTCCCTCAATGGCATTTATGCTTGTAAAAGACCATGCAGGAGAGAGTGGGGCCTGTCCTGACTTTCAGGAAGGGGCTGTGAATTAGTTGCTTTACTCTCTTCTCCTCCACTCCTTCACCCCAGTGATTCTGCACAGAGCCTAACAGATCTTTTTGGAAAGGCAGATGAGATTCAAAGGGCCATTTCCCTGCATGCTTCATCTTTCCTACTTCCCTTGCGATCGCTGTTGTGTGTGATGCAGCAAGCCGGCTGCAACACACTGTAAACTCCACTGTAATGCGAAGCTTGCACCCCGAGAGCTGTGACTGCATTTTGCAGACACATCTTGCAATAGCACTTCCTGATAGGTTCAAGCAAAATTTCCTCCCAGCCCCATGTGCAACTTCCACACCATGGTAAGATGAACTGAATTTCTTTTAGAAGCATAATAGTCACGAGTTTCATATTTCTAAATTTGCACTTATTAATTTATTAAAAGCTTTTATATCCCATACCCTACAAAACGTCTCGGCAGTTTACAATAAGTAAATATACATATAGACCAGCATATTCAGTTTTTACACAGATCAGGGCTTCTGATCTTGTCCTCTTTTTGGGATGGGAGGTGATTCAAAAGGACAAAGGAGCACAATATCTCACTTTCATTCCTGATGCCAAGAGTCCTAGTCTGCACAGGTTTGCACAGGAGTCTGTGAAGTCTTCTATGCAAAAATGCATTGTGGCTCATATTCTTGAGCCATTCAAGCACACTCTGTGTGCACACACACTACCAGCACAAGCACAAGCACAAGCATGAGCCCCCACAGTGGAGACAGAAAGTTTGCTAATTATGCAAGGTAAGACACAGGGTAACTGACAGACTTTTCAAGGTGCTAGCTATGAATTAACTTTCAAGGGTATACAAAACTCATCCTGCCTTTCTTTTGGACTTAAATACATTGCAGTTCTATTGCAGTCTTTCTGAAAAGGAAAGAAAGGTGATATCATCATCATCATCATCATCATCATCATCAATCAGTTCTGTCTTCCTCATATGCTCCAGGGCCTGGGTTGTAGAGAGTGTTACCTCTTTCTGGCTTCCTCCAGCACCCTCTTGTGGCTTGTTGCTCACAACTATCTGAGAAAAAGTCTATTACAGCATTTTTCACACAGGATGGAAAATAACATTTTTTGGTTAAAAGATATTTCTACTTCTTCAAAACTTTTTGAGGTCTTCCAAGTCGGTCTTGCCATGGATAGCTGGACGGTGAAGAAAGCTCATGGGGGGAGGGGGATATGCATTTGAAACAGGTGCTGGAGGAGGACTTTTGAATACCCTGGATCAGCAAAAAGAGCAACAAGAGAGTCCAAGCCAAATCAAGCCACAACTTTCCCTGGAAACAAAAAATGACAAAACTGAGGCTGCTATCCTTTGGACACATCATGAGAAGGGAAGGCCATCATGCTAGGGGAAGCTGAAGAAGAAGAAGGGGGGGCAACTAAGAGATGGCTTGATTCCACAAAAGAAGTCACAGCCTTGAGTTACAAGAACTGAGCTGAGCGATCAAGGACAGTACAGTTTGGAGACATTCATTCATAAGGATTTCATAAATCGGAGATGACTTGCTGGCATGTAACAACAACCCCCGAGCTCACGGATGCCTTCCTTCTGTAACTGGTTGGTACCAATTTGCTGAGTAGACAACACAGCCTGACAATCAAGAAAAAATAGGAAGAATATTCACTGAAATATGAAATATGTGACGGAGTTACAAAAGGGATTCCTTTTGTGTTGAGAAGCAATTTCTCTAGATGTCAGCATGGTAGCTATGGTCAATCCTGGAGTGATTAGGAAAATGAAACTTCAGTTGTGTCTGAATAACTGAGAAAACCATATTGAATTGGACTTCCATCAATCAACACATCATTATTTGTTTTTCGGCGCCAGGCTAAGACCTTTTTATTTAAAACTTATTTTAATTGCTAAATTATTGTATTTATTAGGATTTTAAATTAGCCGAGAATGCACCGGGGGTTTTAAATGTTTTTTTTTCTTTTAAATTGTT